TGAGGTCTAGAGTTCGATCCCCAGTTGGGTCGATGGACTTGCATTGTTGAGAAGATCCAACCAGTCCACTTCTTCCTAGCTTTTCAGTTCACGCTTCATTTGCTATATACGTGACGAATTCCATCCGTGAGATTGAATCAAATCCTCCATTACTCACATGCAACAGAATGAAAAAGAAATAAATGAAAATGGAAATGGTTAACAGGCCGGTTTTCGACGTTTGGCAAAATGTGATATATGGTGATGGTTAGACACAGTTAGCCAATTTCCTGAACTTTCTGCTAGACTATGTACAAAGCTGGCTTTCGAGTAATTTAGAAAGACGTACTGCTTATCCGTATTTCTTTAATAGTCCCGAGGTAGATGTCACCCAGCCATTGAGATAGAATATCTGGGCATCTGGAAGAACACATTTTGTTGCAAGTATTTCGCAGTTAATTCACCGAAAGATCCACAGTTACTAGTCCATTTGGATAAAGCACTCATCCTCATGAACAATCCGCAATTTGTACATTCAATCAAAAGGTTTAGGACCTACCGAACTCGAAAATCGATCGAATACGAACTGGTGACTGGTGCGCATTCAGTGAACTATCCCGGGTCGAACTTCTGAACGCATCCCCCCCATGGAAGGCATTTTTATCACGATTGTGCTAACCAGGTCACGCCGGAGTTGACAAAAGTAACTGTCTGCACAGGTCTTACAAGGACGTAACGAATTTAATGGGATTAGCCAATGAGTCGCTCCAAGATCATAATGATTGTTTGGAACAGGGAGGATTTGGTCAGTGGTTGAACATGGATCACATGATTAGGTTAGCACAACACTACAATCAGTTTGTAGTATATCTTGCGTGCAATCGATCTCAGACCTTGGCAGTTGAATGGCATAGGTCAATCTCTTTTGCACGCATAAGATTGGTGTGAACAAAAGAATACCGAACACTTACACAGTGGTTAGGATACAGGGACGCAATCATTAGGATATGCGAGGCGTTACACGGCTGATTCAAACTTCCCCTTTTTTGGCCCCTTTTTTGACGCATTAAAACCTATTTGTAGTGTTGTCGAAATCAAGTGGCGTGAAATACATTACACCAGTCGCTTCATTCTCCCCATAAACTAACCAATCACTGTGACCTTTGGAGCGACTGAATGGCTACGGCTCTCAATATAGTACCTCCTAAATGATCTGTACAGGACGCTAGTAGGCGCACTGGTGAAAACAATTTTTCGTTTCTCAACCTGTGTTCTCGTGTCATACGACTTCAGGTTTGTTTGCATATCGTCTTTACCGAGGGCCACTTCATTTTTAGTCCACCAACAATGTTAGGAGACACTGTTCATTCTACTATTCTCAGCAAAATTCTTCTGATTAAAGCTGAGCGAATATTGATTCTAATGGTTCTAATGTGTCGGATTGAGTGGACCAACTGTGATTCGAAATTTGTGAAAAGGTTAAAGGAATCTATACAACAACAGTAGATATATATATAATCTGTTTCTTGAAAATTTTCACTTTCATCTTTGAATTTTCACTGGTCGCACAAAAATCGATATCTTTCTCCTCCTTCTGCTGTTCCCTTTGTCTGATAGAATCTATTCAAAAAATACGTGGTTCGATTCCTCAGTCCGGAAGACTCGTCCAAAGTGCATATCGAGATACAATTAAAACGTGTCCTATCCGGGGATAGCGGACATTCTGCAATTCAGTTAGCCATTCGATCAGAGGATCCGGAGAAAGCCGAGGAGTATTGGTTGACCAGGGCTTCCGCTTTCTGGTACAAAATTGCCCCAGTTCTTCTGACTTCCTTGTCTGAAGACGAATTGCAGCTGCTTGTAAGTCAGTGACATCTGTATTCTGCCATTTCTTAGAAACGGATTTAAAACAATGGTGATATATTTTATCCCAGTTTTAGGTTACCATGACACTGATACATTAAGTTCTTTTACTGTTTCGATAAAGTGGAGTTTTATTCGACCACGCTGTAATGCCTATTTTGTATCCACTGTCAAGTCAACAATTTAGCCCGAGTGTGGATGGTTTCAATCGACGGATGACTCAGGTGTACTACTACTTGTTGTCTTTGATTTCACGCGATGGTGGTGTTTCCGGTTGAAGTTCTCCCTAAACATCAATACTATAACTATCATCGTGTAATGGGAAGGACCTTTGGTAACCGGACGGGTAAGTGACATGGGCCTGACTGGAATAGGCGTTGCATTGATTCGGACGAGAGTAAAGCTGCCTACCACCAAATGTTTGTTGTTGTCGGAGTTGGAATCTCTAGAACAATAGAAACTGTTTGATCACCACCACCACCACCACCATCCATACATGCAACTCCAAAGATTTGAAGGAAACCCGTTAACCACCAAACGTTGATGGCGGTTTCAGATTCCGAACACCGAATCTTGATGCACGCAGAACGCTCGTGGTAGCCACTGAAATGCGACTGGTACACTTAAGTTCGTTTTCTTATGTTTTTGGCTTCTGGATTATATCTTCAACATACGACTACAGGCAATATGAGCGCACACGAGGGAAACAAAGCGAAATATATGTGCAAACAGGCTGAACTAAGAGTAAACTAGACCATAACCCATATTCATATATCTACGATGCGTATTCATGGATGACACGCGGTTCAGTCCAACAGCCAAGATACGGTATGTGTCACAAGAGGAATCAGTGAATCATGAATCAGTACTGTTTACAAGTAACCAGGTGAACGGATAAGTTCAACAACATAAATAGTACACGTATATCAAGGTCATGCCAATTGACCAAAACAGAGCAATCGATCACGGTTGATCACTGTTGGCCGGTCAAATAAAGATGCTACTACAATGCAGATAGAGTTAGACGGAATAACAGACGGAAATTGATGATGACCTTGAGGGTACGCATTAACGTATGCAGTATACCGTACACACAAATTAAATATCCGCAAAAAGTGAGCTTCTTGTTTTGTACCCGAACTATACTGATCATGTATAACGCCTACATTCTTTTGACTAAAGGATGTGTGAAACAATCGAACAGGCGAGGTGCTTTATACAGTCCAACGGGTGGGAGTCACATACTCGTTCCGCCGATACGTAATATCTTTTACATGAATTTTTCCAACTGCGACATAAGTATCTATCTAGATACACAGCTGTTCGCGGACTTAATCAATGAACAACTGACTAAGGCACAGTGCATTAATGAATGAGCCAATAGTTAATTCTTCTCTTCGGTCAGATTGAGCTCTTAGATTAGTCTGATGATACAAATGCGGGTTCGTTGAACACCGATTTCCCTCATAGATTGCTCGTGGATCGTGCCCGAACATTGAATTCATCTAAGACCACAAATTGATGGCCCGGAATAAAACCAAAGTGATGCAATCGTCAAACGGTAAATGGAACAACGGATACAGGTTAACAAAATTAGATAATCTTATAATCAAAATCATTAGACGAGAAAATCAATTTGTCAAATTCGCCAACAAATATGGTCTTTAACCCTGCCAAACTCCGAAATATTTTTGCTCAGGCAGTTACCTTTCCGTGTTCACTCAGTCCCGGCAAAATACATGGTCAATCTGACTTTCCTTAAAGCGCGCGAGCGATCAGCAGACTTTTTGTTCCCTTCTTTTCACCCCCATCGATTGCTGATCGCGAACTGCTCGGGCCTAAATAGCGCAAATCCGTGCGAGACGAGTTGAGCCGAAACAAGCAAGGTCGCGATGAGTATATGGCAAACATGTGGGAAACAATTGTCAAATGGAATGCTGATTTCCACATTTTTGATAAAATGGTAAGTTCTATCCAGTTGTTTGATTCTCTCACGGTGTGTAAATTTGTAATTTTTAGTTTAAAAACGTTTGCCTATAGTTGATGTTTTGTAGACAAAATGAAATAGTGTGATCACGTGCCGCGTACAGCTCCAATGGGTCGTGCGCTCGCTTTTCACCTGTGAGGTCCCAGTATTGATCCACAGATGGATCGATACTTTCCCACAATTGAAGAAACAACCGAAGGGAGGTTGGAAGCATTGAGTCCCCTTTAGTCATTTCATCAATATGGAAAGAAGACAATTTTTACGAGATGTTAACATATCGTTTAATCTTCTCAATCACTGATTGATCAATTATAGTGAATGAACGTGCACAAACATGCAAAGATTGCTGAATATAGAAGTGGAAGGTCAATTCCAAGTGAAGTTAAGTTCCAGTCAAGTCAAGTCAAGTAAAGCTTTATGCACCCAGTAGGATGAATTTTCAGCACTTTTGACAATTTACAGTGAGGAAAACGTTAAGCATTGGAAAAATAGAAGAAATATACATTTACTAAATGGAAAATAAATGTATGTGATACAATCCTAATGTGACAGGTGATTGTTCAGGTCAGCAATAGTATTTGCTTGGTTGACCAAGATACGAGAACAATAAGGGATCATGCTGTTTTTGTGTGTGGTGGTGCGTGCACAAAGAATCCGAAATTGGGAACGGTTACTCGGATGAGAGACCGATTTATTCAGATGGGAGTGCAGGTAGTGTTCTTCGTTGGACAGGATATGGCTGATAAATCGATCGCATGAGTCAAAATGCTTGCTCACAATAAAGTCAAATAAAACCGTCTTTTTAATGCCGCTGCAATGGGAAAGAAGTTTAAGAGACCTGGAAAAGAGCATAAAGTCTTTCTCCTTCAGACCAGGAACATATACGGGGTAACAGTACAACCCATGTGGAAGAATGCATGCAGTCACAAATTTAAGAATTACATTTAGGGGAACATCGTGCTTTTTAAGCCTGAAAGCACAGGAGGATAGCCCACAAACACCAATACAAATTTTTTCCACATGTTTGGACCAAGAAACATTATGTGACAAATTAACTCCCAGATATTTCACAGAGTTCACTTTGGGGATGGATGGTATTACCGTTAACAGAGAGTTCAGGCTGATTACTCTAAAGGGTTTGACATTGTATGCTTGTTTCAAGGCTAAAAGAAACATTCACACATTTATCTACATTAAGCATTAAAGATCGGGGAGTCGACCAACTAAAAATGTTATTTAGACAAACTTGAAGTTGACATAAACCATCAGGATCAGTCGAGGGACAGCCGACCACCACAGNACCACAGCATTATCAGCATACTTGCAAGCGATAAAGTTGGGTGGGATGGGAAGGTCCTTAATGTACAGTGAAAGAGGAAATGGCGACAAAATTGCACCCTGAAAAACTCCAGAGTTAACTTCCAGCAGGGAGGAAGATTCACCGTTACAAAAAGTGTATTGCGTCCGATGAGTGAAGTAATTAAGTAGTACATTCAGTAAATTAGGTGCCAGACCACAATCGGAAAGACGTTGAATGAGAGTGCCGCAGTCAAGAGATTCGAAAGCATTAGTATAATCAAGAAATGTTAAACGGACGCTGCCAGCCTCTTTATCCAATGAGGATGAAACGGAGTGAACAACGTGAGCAACAGCATCAAGAGTAGAAAACGAATGTTTGTATGCAAACTGAATAGGATCACGGGTGACAGATAGAGGGTCAGCCGGTTAAGAAGGACTCTTTCAAAAACCTTCAGTAATGCTGATGTGCAGGTAATCGGTCGATATTTTGAAGATCCGTTTTGGGGAATAGGGGTTATCCGAGCAGCTCTCCAACAGTCAGGGACGCTTCCAGATGACACACACAAATTGAACAACTCGGAAATAGGTGAAGCAAATTGTTCAGTACACTCTTTCAGTAGGAAGAGGGACAAGGAATCAGGGCCATGTGCTTTGTTAGATTTAAGGGACTTGAGTACATTCAGGACTTCCACAGGGGTGACCGATTGGTTCTCCCCAGTAGATATAAATAAAGGTGGGGTTGATTTCCGTACATTAGCATTTGCGAATTGAAGGTTTAACTCTTCAACATCCGGAAAAGATCTGTTGCGTGATCCACAGGGTTGCTTCAAAGCAGACCACATATCAAGGCAGTTCTGGTTTTTCATAAGAGTTTCGATATATATATATATATATATGACATTTAGGCACTGTATTTCTATTTTGATCAATAATGATGGAAGTTTGACAGCACTGCGCCTTCGAGTCCTGTAAGCCTATCTTTATCACGACGAAGCCGTTTTAGAAGAGACGGAGGGAATCTGTCAGTTCGAATATATAAAGGCGCAACTGGGCAACACAGATCATAGCAAAAATTAAGATAACATGTAAGATGCTCACAACTGGAAGAGTTGTCCGCGTTGGCAAAGACAGTGAAATCGGTAGATGAAACCATATCGTTAAGTTTGGATTGGTTTTCAGGAGTGCGACCTCTCCTTCTGATGGTTCTGGATGTGGAACAGTTCATATGTTGCTGAAAATATTTACCGTAAATCTTAGGGTGCAAAAAATAGAGCAATGGTCGTGGATACCCATGGGAGCTCGCTTCTCAATGAATGAAAAAGATTTCGGGGCTATTTACAAAAATCCCGCCAAGTTGGACACCAAACCGGGTAGGAAAATATACAAGATTCATCAAGCCTAAAGTTGTGGGGAAAGATATAATAAAACGATTAAAATCACCACCAGCATAAAGACTGGTCCAAACCGGTTACAATTTGTGAGGAGGAGTCGATAAATAGACGAATATCAGTGGCAGGTGTGTCGGGAGCGATGTAAGTGTTCGCTAGTCTAATGCAGTGAAAGTGACTGAGAAATAGGGGCCTACAATAAATAACAATGTATACTATTTACCTTGGGAGTACTAAATTGAAAAACATTGATGAATGTTTTTGCACCATTTTCTGTTGACGAAAGTAACCGCTCCACCACCTCTGTGTAGGAAGTTCACGTTATGATCGCTTTGGAATATGTCAGATCCATCAAGATGCACGATGTCCTCAATATCAGGATCTAGTCAGCTTTCCTGGAGTAGAATAAGCCCTACATTTTTTCATTACATTTGGTGCATCATGCTCTTGACATCATCGAGTTTTCCCATAAGCGAACGAATGTTACACGAGATAACAGAAGAAACGGTCCAATTATCAACAGAACGCCGCCTGAGCGCCACACACCAGCCAGTACGGTGACTTTTATGGTGTCCTTGAACAAATTTGTGCAGAAACTCTACGGTAAGTGGATTGATTCTATCAAAAACATTTGTGTGCAGCAAGTCGGGGGATGTAATCAAATAAGCAGCACTTTACTGGTTGCCAAGACTTTAGTATTACGATTACGTAAAAGTGGTTTGAAGGACGAATTAGGGTCAGCCGTATGTCTTGTTGTCATGATATGTTTTATAGCAGATGACCCTGTATTTCTTGTAATCACTTGGCCATCAATTATCGGTTGCGCCATTGATTTCACCAACCATTTTGGAATATGTTCGGCCGTCCGTTTTGAGGACTGAGGGGCTTGTTCTGTCTATGTATGCGTCACCGCAACTGTAGGTGAACTGGCATGCAGTATATGAGACGGAACCGGCTTGCTAGTCATTTTTACGTTTATCCAAATCAATTCCGCTTAACTTGGATTTGACCTTCTACTTCTATATTTAGTAATCTGTGTGCTTGTACACGTTCATTCATTGGAATTAATCAACCCCCTGTGTCATATATGCGCCTATTTGTTTTAACTCAGCGCTCGCGAAGATTAAACGAAATGTTCACATCTCGCAACATTTGTATTCTTTCTGTATGGAGGAAATTGTTTTTGATCATTTTAATTCATCATACTGTTGGATCTTTACATCACAAACATCATAACTTAATCAAATCATATCCCCATCACTCTCATTTTTATCCATTTATATTTTTACAAAATGTTATCACTCTTGATTTATACAGTTATCGTTTTTGTGACACAAATGTATACTTAGAAATCACGTGAACGCATCGAAAATTAGTAACTTCTATTTCTCACCAACTCATGGTTTTGCTAATCAATTACACGTACCATCTTCGAATCGGCTCTGGAAGAACACTTTTCGAATAAAACGTAATTTGTTTTTTTATCTCTTTACAGATAGAGAAATTGAACAAAATCACCAAAGACGAGTTGGTAAAATTCTATTATATAAATTATTTAGATTTTGAACAACAACGATCGATTGTACTAGAGGTGAGTTTTGAAAATCAAATTGAAATTCCGATTGCATCTCGTTTTCTCTACTTGCACTCATGTGCAAATTTAGACGCTCACAATCCATATAAACATTTTTTTAATTGAGCAATTTCGCGCACAAACCATATTCCTCTGACCAAATCGAGGGACCGGGAGAGGCTGGATGGAACAGAAGTGCGCTTGTGTGTGCGTGTGTTTTAGCTGTGAAGCGACAACTTCGATCCTGTCTACATTCCTGGTGAACAAATGATCGAATGGTTTGACTGATTTCGAGCCTCAAATCTTAGGACTGGCTGGCAGTCAGAAAGTACTTCGTGTGTGCAGCCTTAAATGCAGCATTACTGTACTGTAGACGTTGAGAGTATAAATCAAGCATTTGTGCACCCAAGTAGTGATCCTCCTGTTTCATGGATTCCGAAAGACGCAGCTGACATAATCCCGTTTTCGAGAGAACAAATATTTAAACTCATTCGCACAACTAATCATCCACTGGTATTGGTCCTGACGGTTTATCTTCATCCCTTCTAAAGCATGGTGCCCTGGCTCTAACGGATGCTTTTACTTCTATCCTCAACACGTCACTCAGTTTATATTCAATTCCCGATTGCTGGAGACCCGTCGCGATCATTCCCATTCCAAAACCGTGCAGATCCAGCACCCTGTCCAAACGTT